TCCAGAAGGGGCCTGGGGGTGTCACAGGGCCAGTAACAGCTGGGGAGAGAGAGAGGGTGGGGAGGGAGAATGGGAGGAGCGGGGGAGGCAGAAAGGACCCAGGGGACCAGGGAGTGCCAGGAGGGACCAAGGAGAGGCAGAGAGGCCGGGAGGACCAGGCAGGACTGAAGGCACCAGGAGGGCCTGGGCAGGACCTGGGGGAGGGATGTGGGGGTGCAAGATGAGGCCTGACAGGGCCAAGGGGAGCCTGGGGGGCATAGGGGTGGTCGGGCAGTGCCAGGAAGGGGCAAAGTTGGACCCTGAGTCCCACCTCCTGGGACGCTGTGTCCCCAGGCCGCAGGTAGCTTCAGGCAGGTCCTGTGATGGTTTTCAGTTTCATATTTTGGTGAGAAACAGCCTATTTGGGTTCCTCCTCTGCAGTGTTTACACAGAGAGACTCCAAGGCCCTCAGCATGGATTTGAACTTGGTCTGGCCCTGGGGTGGGGCTGGGGGCCAGAGGGTTAGCACTGAGGAATTACAGGAGCCCAGCCCTGTCACAACCTGGGGTGGTGGCAGTGGGTGCCCCTGCTCCCCAAACCCGGTCAGAGCCACAGAAGAAACCCAGGCCGAGAGGGGAGGGCCTCCCGACCCCCACGCAGAAGCCAGTGTAGGCTGCTCAGAATAATCCAGGTAGGAAACACCGGCTGTGTCCTCATGCCAGTCCCAGCCCACCTGAGGCCATGACCTCTGGCCCCTCACTGCCCTGGTGCCATCCTGAGGAAGTCCTCATCCCCTGGCCTGCCAGTCTGGTGGGAGGTGCCCAGGGGCAGACCACGGGGTCCCAGGGAAAGAGGCAGGGAGCCCCTGGTTGCTTCCGGGAAGGGAGATGCCCAGAGAGCTGCCCCGGCCTGGGGTCTGTGGGGAGCCAGTTTCCAGCTCAGGCCTTTATACCCCAGGGAGCCAGACCCTTCCCTTGCTGGGTCCCAGGGCCAGGCAGATGCATGGGGGCGTGAGATGGGAGCAGAGCTCAGTCAGGGCCTGTGGGTCCAGTTGATGGCCTAAGCCCTGGATGGTGCTGTGCCTAGCCCATGCCACAGGCGAGAAGCCTCAGACTCCAGTGGGCAGAGGACTCTGCCAAGGACACACAGCGGCATGACTCCCCGCCTGGTGCCCCTCTGTCCAGGGAAACCAGTGCCACCACAGACCTCCAGGGTCCCTCAGGGCAGCTGTCCCAGCTAAGCAGATGCGAAGCATGGTGACGCTGAGGAGGGAGCTCCTGGAGACCCCCACCCTCTGCACCCAATCCGCACCTTCTGTGAGCACAGGGTGGACTTGGCCAGGAAGAGAGGCCTGGGGACAGGAGCAGGAGTAGTGTGTGGTGTATGCTGAGGCCACATTAACCAAGGCCAAGCACCCAGACCACGGGAGGTGATTGTTCTCTGGGCTGTGGTGGAGTTCAACATATCAGAAAGAACAGGGACAGGAGCTGCATTTCAAAGGCTAAAGCAGGTGTCCCCAAACTGTGGCCCGCGGGCCGCATGCAACCCCCTGAGGCCATTTATCCGGTCCCCTGCCACACTTCAGGAAGGGGCACCTCTTTCATTGGTGGTCAGAGGAGCACAGTATGTGGCGGCCCTCCAATGGTCTGAGGGACAGTGAACTGGCCCCCTGTGTAAAAAGTTTGGGGACGCCTGGGCTAAAGAAACGATAAGTCTGGCCTGGATTTGGGGGCTTGGGGTGTGTGGCTGGGGTCTTCCTGTACATGGCTTCCTGTCTACACCTCCCTCAGTCACACTGGCCTGTGGTCTGTTCTGCAAGCTCCTGACTCCTCCCCACCACAGGGCTTGGCACAAGCTGCCCCCCTACCTGGCATGCACTGTCCTCCTGGGTTGCTGTTCCAGCTCACCTTCGGCTCCTGAGAGCCTTGCCTGGCCGTATGCTGTGAACTAACCTTTGCACCACTCCATTACCCTCTGTCTCACTGCCCTGTGGCTCCCTTCCTGACACGTCCTGGTGCAGGACTCTGCACGCGCGCAGAGGCTACCTGTCTACTTCACGTGCGTGCTGTCGGGCTGCAGTCTGGGCTTTGGTTCACGGTTGCACCTCAACTCCTAGCTCAGAGCTCACAAATAATGAATATACAAAAGCCCCCACCCTGGTCAATCAAGGATGAAAGGAATGGAGAAAAGAGGCTTTTCTCTCTTCTTCCCCAGGAGGCAGATCAGGGACCAATGGACAGCAGATTCCAAGAGTCCCATTTCAGCTGGGTGCAAAGGGCGGGTGTCCGCTAAGGAGGCCTCTCTGGAGGGGTGCTGCTGTGCGATATCCAACCAGTCAGCTGTCGGGAGGCAGGTCTCGTCTGTGGTCAGTTTGCACTCATGGACCTGGTCGTTGCTCTCAAGTCTGCCACTCTCCTGCTTCCATCCATGGGAGGGAGGGCGAACGTTTGCTGGGATTCTCCATACTTCAGGAACTAGCAGGCGCTGTCCCCTCACTCCCGCGACATTTGGGGGAGGTGCCTCTGCCCAGCTTCTGTGAGAAGGAATGCCCCAGAGTCTTGGGAAAAGGAGCTCAGGGCCCAGGTACCACCCAGCCTGGGAATTTTGTCCGAAACACAGTAATTCATACACACTGCCCTGGAATGTCTGCCCGGCAGCACCTCCCAACTTTGTTAATGGAAACCTGCTGATCCATAACCCGCGTGTGGCAGACATCTGCTCGGGGGTGATGTGGTGGTAATGTACATATCGATGATCAATCAGCGGATTTGCAAGAAAGGCATAAAGTATTTAATTATAATTGTGTTGGGCAAGTCTGCGTGGTGGCAGCGACATTTGAATAGGTCACAGCCAGCCCTCACCCTGTTATGTTGCTGGTATTAAATGCCACTCACTCTAAGGGCTGGGAACCTTTCTGAAGTTGCAGGATATCACACACTGGCAAATTGAAAATGTCCCTTTGCTTTTAAAAATATGATTGATATCCTTTGCAAAATGAATGCTACACCTCATAATACACAGATTTCACCTGGCACTGCCCCTGCCTCTCGCAGGCGTTGAGTCCTCATTTGGCCACAAATACATTCTCAGAGAGGGTGAGCTATAAAGACCTCGACTTGTTTTGAGGCCGCCAACGAGCGTCCTGTTTAGGGAAAGGATTTCTGTTGTTCCAAATTAGGCTTTGCTTACCAGAACGAAGTGCAGCAACTCAAAAGATAAAATGTAAATTTTATTTCCTCTGTTGGTAGCAGAAAAATATATCTTCGGATACTTCTTTGCCATATACTTATGTACGGGAGCATCTAAATTACCCCTCATAGGATTTAAATCTATGCTTTTAGCAGAACCGGCAGACGGATAAATATAACAGGCGTGCAGACAGACACACATCACACATCACAATAACACGTACACACACACGTGTACACGCCATGCCGATAGCCTGTACAAGGCAGCATGGAGGGGGTGAGGAGCCAACCCGGGGCCGCATGCCTGCCATACAGGTTCCCATCCGTGAATGGGCATGGATGAGAGCCGCAGCCCTCATCTCCTAGTATCCTATCAGAAGAGAGCTCTGGAAACTGCAAGCTGACATTTGCAAAGGAGAGGTGTCCACATTACAAGTCTCATTTCCACTTCCAGGAACAGGCATTTGAGGCTGGGCTCTGGCTCCTTCTCCCTGTGTGAAGGGTGCCCTGGTAGGCAGAGGCTGCAGTTGTCACGGCCCAGAGGCTGGGGAGTGGGTGCATCTCCATGGGGCCAGGTGCTCACGGCATCCATCAGCAGTGGCCTTCCTCCCTCTCCTCAAAACAACTGACAATACATCGAGTCTATTTACAGGGTAGGTGAGTGGGGAGATACTGGGATTTTTCTGAATGGAGACGAAGCCAAGCGTCTTTTGCATGTTCTGGTCTGTCTCTGCAGCCCGCCTACCTTCACTGCCTCCCAGCCCCTGCTTTTAAGGGTCTGATAAAGCAAGGCTATGCAATTCCCAAACGAGACAGCCAGCCTCGTTGGGTGTGTTTTTTGCTGTTCACAAAATTAGCCAATGATTGTCACTGAGTGAATCAGATTAGGTGTAATCCATACTAATGTTCATACTAACGTTCAAATTAAGTCACTGAAAGCAATTAACTCTACAAAAGTGGGCTGCTGAAAAATGATAAGGCTGGCCAAATAGTTTCACTGTGCATAACTGTTGTTTTTTAGAATGCCCGCCTCTACACAGTAATTACATCATTTACATTTTAAGTCGAGTGCACCCACCTTGGATGCTTGTAATTGTGCACTGAGAGGTGTAGCAGGAATTTTATCAGCAGCCTGCTCTCTTGGGGGCCTGTATTTTGGGAAACAGCTGATGGAAGGTCCCTGAATCAGGATTTACTCCCCGCTCAGAAGAATCAAGAAATTTGGACTTTGCTCCAGTATCATCCCAAATTTGGGCCCCTTCTTCCCACCTTTTCTTTCTCCCTTCTGGTATAAAAAGCGTAATGGATTTCTTAAACTGTCACCAAAATACTCAGCTGATAAATAAGATACATTTATCACGTCCAATCACATCATCCCTAACACGGACACCATCATAAGCCTTGGGGTGACTAACTCATGGGGTCAATTGAGGTCTACCTTCATGGTTTGTGCCTTATCACTATTATTTTAACCATGGGGACGATGTGAGCCAGCCCCCTAACCACACACTGGGCACTTGTGGCTTTTGGGCTGTGTAGAGAGCTCACCCTCAAGTGACCCAGGAATGAAATGTTACCCGACTCTGGGAACATGACCCTGTGCCTTTATTCCTCAGAGCAAGAGCAGGTCAGTCCGGAGCAAACCGTTCAGTAAAACTGAAACCCAGTTGGGTTTTCCCTGCAAGAGAACTGTTTTCTGAACGGGTAAAGTCACAACCCCGCAGTCTATACCTTTAACGAGCTCCATCTCCGCCTGTCCCCCCAGTCCAGGACTAGTGTGGCACCTGATCTTCAGTCTGCAGGAGAAATTGCAGGATTCACCCAACTCTGATTTCTTGGCTTAAGGTGGGGCTGGAATCATCTTTCCAGGGAGGGTCTGGGGAAGACCCCTGACTGAGCCTGCAGGGGCCTCCAGAGTGGCCCCACATCACATTGTCCAAAAGTGGAGGCCCACGTTCTCCAGCCGTGGGTATCTGCCCTCCTGTGCAAAACCGGGCGGCTTGAACCCTGGAAAGGGGTCTGGGGAGGAGAGGATGTAGTCGATGCTGAACTTGAGGTCCCGGGGCTGCTCCTTCCCCGGGGTAGTGGGGCTGGCGGGGGGCTCGCGACCCTGGGTGCCCTCACCAGCGCTGTCCGCAGCCAGGGGCCCCTGCGCGGTGGACGGCTCGGTCGGACCCGGGGTCCCCTGTGCGGCCCCCGCGCACGGGCCCCTCGTTCCCTCGCGCTTGGGGCCGCGCCGCCGGCGCCGCCGCCGGTAGTTGCCGTTCTCGAAGAGGTCCAGCAGCGACTCGCAGCCACCCGCGAACGTCCAGTAATTGCCTTTGCCCTTCTCGTGGCCCTCGGTCCGCGGCACCTGCGCGCGCGGAGGGAGGGGTTGGGAGCGGCTCCGCTGTGCTGTGCGCCCGCCCGCCGCGTCACCCCCGGGGTGCCCTGGAAGGGAGCTCGGGTGGCGCATTGCGCAGGTAGCTGCGGCCCCGGGGGCTGAGGACGGACCTCTCTGCGGCCGCCGCCCTGCAGTCCCCTCCCGTCCCTGCCCCCGGAGGCCCTGGCGCAGGTGTCGCCACGCGGGGAATCCCGAGGCCCGTCGGGGCGGCGCTCACCTTGACGAAGCAGCTGTTGAGGGACAGGTTGTGACGGATGGAGTTCTGCCAGGCGCGCTGGTTGGCGCGGTAATAGGGGAACTTGCGCATGATGAAGTCGTAGATACCGGACAGGGTCACCCTGCCCGCGGGGCTCTGCTGAATGGCCATGGCGATCAAGGCGATGTAGCTGCGGAGCCCGCGGGTCAGGAGGGTCTCCGCCCGGCAGCCCCCTCCTTCCCCAACCCTCAGGGCGCCGTGGGGTGCAGAGGCGGAGAAGCCAGGGGGTGTTGGGGAAAGTGACCTGCAGCTCGCGGCCCCCGCCTCCACCCAAACTCCAGAAGCTCTGCCTGGGCTGGGGAGGCCGAGAACCTTCCCTGGCTCTCCCGAAAGGAAGGACATATGTGTCCTTTCTCTGAGTTCCGCCCGAAAGAAGGAAGCCATCTCCCCTTCCTTCTTCCCAGGCAGGTCCTGGCTATCTGGACCCCTGCAGAGGGGTGTCACTGTCCCCCAAACCCAGGCCTCCGCCCCGCAGTCACCTGTACGCGGGCCGCGTGAGCCGCTGGTCCTCGTCGGAGCTGCCGGCGGGGTAGCCGTCGGCGTCGTCATTGAAGCAGTTGTAGGGATACTGCGAGCTGTCAAACATCCTGGGGGCCCCAGCTACAGCTGCCGCCTCCTCCGCGCCGCCCGCCGGCTTCTCGCAGAGCCCTCTCGGCGCGCACCAGAAGCTTCTGCACTGCCTGCTGCTCTCGCCCGAGCGGGAACCTGGGCTCCTGGGGTCCCCCGCCTGCCCCCACCCCCGTTCTGTCGCGTCCAATCCCGGCGCGGGGGAGGCCCCAGCACCGGCGAAGCAGCCGAGGGGAGCTGAGCTGGCCGTCTCGATGACCCTCTGACCGCCGCGGGAGGAGGGAGGAGGAAGCGGCGCGCTGGGTGGTCCCACGGGCGGGGTGGTCTTTCCCCACTACCCCGTGGCCTCCCGCTCCCTTCCCGGGGGGCCTCTCTGCACTTCCTGCGCTCAGGGCAGGGCTCGCCCCGTCCCGGTTCCTGGAGGCAGGTTCAGGTGTCCTGGGGTGCTCCCTGCACTGGCAGAAATCTCCTGGGAGCGCTCCGGTCCTGTGCGCCCGGGTCCTCTGAGTCCTGTGCGCCTGAGACTCCCGGTGCTTTCTGGGCGCCAGAATTCTCGGGTGGACACTTGGGTCTCCACAGAGCGCACAGTCAGGAGTGGGCGTAGGATACCCGGACTGTCCCCGCTCTGCCACCCGCACTGTCAGCCGCTCCCGCTCCCCACTCCAGAGCGGCTAGGGATTCAGGCCGAACCCGTGGGACCCGGGGGACATCTCCCGACCTGGGTCACGAGTCCGCTAAGCCCTCTCTGCAGCCCCTTTGCCCCACCCCGCAGTCTCTGGCAGCCTGGAGCTGAGCCCCAACCAGGGCCTGGAGAAGGACCTTGCGCCCGCAGAGTCACTGCTTCACGGGGGCCCCTCTAGGCCCAAGTTCCCGTTTAGGCTCACGCGGAGGGGAGAGAAGAGAAGCCATCCAGGTTAGGAAATTCTGGAGAAAGTAGAGAGGCAGCTCTTACGAGAGTAGGGGTCTTTGCTTCACAATAGACAAGCGATGGATAGCATTTTTATGAATAATCTGCAGGATTCTGACCCAGAGCCACGTCTGCGAGTCGACCTGAGGCCAGAAAGCCCGGAAAAGATACAGTCTTCTTCCAGAAATTTCCCCTGAACCTTCAGCTCTGAAACGACCCA